CATGAATATGAAAAAATAAATAAGTTTTGAAAACTGGAAATACTAATTCTATCAAGAAAACATTTGGACCATTAGTTTCAATTGTTTTTCGATGGGCCACATATTTGCATCCATGTTTAAGATGGGTGCTTTGTTCTTCTAGACCGCATATGTAGAAATGCAGTCCAGCTCGCATAAAACAATTTTCCAAGTTTGAAATAGCTACTTAGGGATTTGTTGGATGCCATAACACCATTTTTGTGAAATGTCCAAACACCATTTTTTGTAAAATCGATTTTCGATTTAAAAAAACCAAGCTTAAGATAATTATTATTATTTAAATTCTTATTATTTAACTAGTAACCTTAATTGGATTGTTTAAGGTTGCAAGCTTACAGAAACCACACCCTTATTTTTATTATACACGATTGAACAAAACAAAAATCAGTATCACATTAAAGTATTTTTTAACACAAAAATAAACAAAAATTCCATGGCTGGTTTTAAAAAGTTTGTAACAAATAATAATTAAGAAATGTAATTTTTGTACTTTTTATTATCTAAGATAAAATTATTGTGTAATAGATCTCTTTGGTCATTGAATATTCCGTACGGTTTGTATCGAGCTGAGGCTCTAAACAATCAAATTAGAACTCAACTTCAAATAGTATCCAGAAATATGGTTTTCATATTGAAATTTTTTGTGATAGACTTAAAATATATTTTTCTCTTTAATTATAAAATCTAAAGCTTTAAAAATAGTGTAGATCGAGCCTATGAAAACTTGAAAATCTTAAAAATTGATGGTAAAAAATGCGCTCTAAAATGCACTATTTCCATAACTTGGAATCTATTTTGTTCTCATATCCATACATATTGATGTCGAGATCATCAAGTTGATGATATTTGAATATCAAAACAACCTCTTCTAGTGAAAATTTTGAGATAGGCTCTAATTTGATTGTTTAGATCCTCGGCTCTTTATAACCTTTTCCCTTTAATATTTGATCACTATTCAACAATCACTTTAAAATTTTACGTGCAACGTTACGTAATTCGACTAGTTTTATATTTCATACAACATTGTGAAATTGTTTTAGCCAAAAAATTTGGTGCTCCCTTGGAAGTATACTGTTCATTTGTTCCCTCGGGTAAAACTCAATCGAGAAGTACTTTTAGGACCCAAATTTGGGGATATTATGTCTTTTAACCCATAGGCTAACCTCAATAATTTTTTTCTCCAAATAGCACTCTCTATGTGTTTGAAAAATAGTGTGCCAAGATTCAATAAAGACCATCCAATTTTTAGATGCTAAGAGCTAAGAGTTAGAATCATAACTTTTTTTTTTTTTGAGATAGCTCAGCAGGCATAGGTCCCCTACTAATAATAATCACCTACTAATTATTAGGCTGTTCCCCAAATTTGAGATCAATAAAATCCTCTCTAGTCAATCTTTTGCCCGAGTGAGTAAATGTATAGCATGCTCCTATGAGAGCATAATATACACACTCATTATTGTAATCACTTATCTTTTAAAGTGAAGGCTTAAACCATTTACTTTTGGTATAGGGAAGTTACAATTATTTACATCCATCCAATGTGAAATTTGATAGCTTGGGTGTGTCATAAAGTTCGAAAAAATTTCTTTTGAACTTTGAACTTGGTCAATAAAATAAATATAGCAACCAATTTCAAGTCAAGATTAATTGTGACAATCTTGTGTCAAGAATAAATAGTCTAATTATATACTTTCCTTTATAAAAATTGGAATCATAGAAAAGTTTTTTCTCATTTCCTGTCAACTCGAACCTGGCCGTAATGAAAACAACATATTTTTACTTTTTTTTTTGTTTGCTTTCCAAAAATTCTATATTGAGATCGGCACCCTCTCCAAAACATCCAATAGTCAAGATTAATTGTGACCATCTTGCGACAAGGATAAATAGTCTAATTATATACTTTCCCTTATAAAAATTGGCATCATAGAAAAGTTTTTTCTCATTTCCTATCAACTCGACCTGGACGTAATGAAAACAACATATTTTTACTTTTTTTTTGTTTGCTTTTCAAAAAGTCGATATTGAGATCGGCGCCCTCTCCAAAACATGTCTAATTAGTGGGCTTCACTAGCATGAGGCCGCGTCTATATGACGCTTCGCAAACCGTACATGAAAGCCCTGCCAAAAAAATGGATAGAGTTTCCATAAGGCTTAGGCTTTATGAAAGCAATGTAAAGCCTCACCTCGAATTTACGTTCAGAAAGCACTTTGGGCATCGAAAAACCTCTATGATGGCTCGTAAATCAATTTTCAACACTAATTATGAAATTTGAATCACAAAAAAAGCTACAGATCTTGCGACTCAAAAACACTTATTTTTCGGGCGACAGAGACTTAAAATGCTATTTTTTTCAGTCACATGGTCAAGGCTAAGATGGCAAATTTGAAGACTTTTCGAAACCAAAATTGCAATTTGCGGTGAGTTTGAGATGAGGATTATTTTGATAGGGCTGCAGCCCTATCGAAACATTCTCCCTAGAAAATAAAGTTCTTACGAGAAAGCCCTGACGATGGATGACGACTGGAAAATCTATTTCCATCCCTGATTGTGAAATCTAAAGTTCTAAATTTGGTGAAGATGCAGTGGATATGTGAATACTTGAAATGCAAATACATAATGCATTACAATTCATGCTATTTTTAAATCTTGTCACTCTTTTTTTACCAAAATCCATAATCATCAAGGTTAAAATGATGACTTTGAGGGTTTTCCAACAAGAAAATCGCATTTACCAGCCAGATTTGAGCTTTTGACTTGAAAATCCCCTATAAAACCCTTTATTTATAGTGTGGGGGCAACTAGAAAAAGAGGGAAAAAAAAAATTGAAGCGTTGATATAGATTGCTTAGATTTTCAAAAGCAAACGCAACTTTTAGTTGTACCTCCTTTTTGTCAAACACTTGTGAACCCATAATTTCATTTTCATAGGTCCTAAATAAGATAGGCTTAACTAATTGGTAGTATTACAAATTGGGGCTATGCTTTACTCATATCTGGCTGATGGTGATTTATGAAAATCAACTGGCACTAGGGTTACTTATGAATCACTTAACTCAACCTAAGGTTTTCTTCTTTTGTCAATTGTTCAATTCCTTGAACTAAAGATTAAGGAAAGTTAGGAAGCTTAATTGTTGTTAGAGTGGCCTAGATTACACTAGGGAATGCTTTGTGAACACAACACGCCTTCTATATTGGTAGACCGTCATTAACAAGGGAGAGTTTAATATATATCATAAGTAAAGTTGTTCTTTCAAGATAGCAAGAAAATTTGAGACGGTACGTTTAGTAGTAGTGAGGTGGGTCTACTTGGACCAAAGTGTGTTGGGGGGATTATAAATTTCCACATTCACTTGGTAAATTCAATGGGAGGTAAGAATTCATTTTCTCTAAAGATGAGGCCAAGTACTGGTGGTTGGCCCGTAACGAGAGGTTTTTATGATTCTTTTTCTTCAGCCAAACAAGACTATATGAACATTAAATGAGTCAGTAAAAAGGAAAGGATGATACTTATCCCTGCCCTCTGTTTTGAAGTGGTGCGATTGAGATTGTCGTTTCATAGTCGAATTTTCAGCTAAGCTCCAAACTAAGAAAAAACAGAACTTCCCCCAAATAATTGAGGTGTCTCAGTTAGGAATTTATCAACATTGTATGAATTCGAACAAGGAAAGAATGATATGTATCTTAGCCCTTGGTTTTGAATTATGCCCCAGTCGAGATTATTGTTTTGTAACCAAATTTGACTCGAAATTAAGGGTATAATGTGTTTTGCAATTAACAAACAAATAATTTGAGAACAGCATAGGGCCTTGGCGGCAGTATTGCTGAGCCCCATGATGAGGTCTTTGACTCCATTCTCACAAAAAGGTAGGGGCCCAAATCCCCACTAACGTACTACTTTTTCATTGATTTACTCAAAAAAAAAAAACACAAGTAATTACCCAAAAAAACAAAAAATAAAAAGAACAAGCACCAAAGAAAAATATTTTAACTGAAAGATTAGATTTAATCATAGAGGCTAGCACACCACTCGTGTTTTCCTAAAAGCTCCAAATTAAGAGAAAACAAAACATTCCCAAATAATTCAGATGTCTTTGTTGTCATCCAAAACATTTACTTGTGGGGAATGTCCACAAAGTTTTTAAGAAATTTTGTATGTGTTATTCTACTTATTTAGTTGGTGGGGTTAGCCCGGTTTTTGTCACGAGTTTGTATCCTATAAGACAGTTTACCTTTGTTTGAGAAGGTGACAGTGTCATATGTGAAATTCAGCGGTTAGGGTATGTTATAAAACTCAAAACGGAATTTTCTTGGGTTCTGTGTTCGATCAATGGTGCGCCCTCGGCTACCTCAGTTTACACGCAACAACTAAAGATGATTATGAGCTTATAGTAAACTAAGGAAAACAATTTTTTGTAATCTTTCTATTTAGTTTTGGATTCGAATTTTGGGCTCTCTTATTTCATTTGTTTGGTGGAGAAGTTTGACTTTTAACCATCTATCCTAATACCCTATTCTGTCCTATATTTAAATAAAGTAAAAACCATAGCCTAACCACTAAGTTACTAATTAGTTTAAAAAAAAAAAGAAAAAAGAAAGGAAAAGAGAGACATAGCATTTAGGGAAAAGAAAATAACAACAATTAGGAAAGAAATTGTAGGGGCCATTCTTGGACATTGGGGACCATGTTGCAAAGAAGAGTATTATTTGGGTTGAAAACTTGCTCCAATTGGGATATGTCAAAGTTGGTATTTATAATTGAAGTACCAAAAATACCAATATGTGTAGCTCGTGGTTAGTCACCAATTTTTTAATATTACTTACCCAAAAAAACCCAATTTTTTAATATTTTGTTTTGTTTTATTATATTTCTTTTTTAAATGTAACTATCCTTTGTAGAACCTCTATAAAAGCGGGGCAAAAGGAGGTTTTAAGGGACAAATAATCGCTTTGGTCTTCTAGGAATGGGTTCGAGCAAAGGGGTGGTTTTCCAAATTGTAAGAGTTTTTTGGCCTTTGCTTCTATTGACGTGGGCACATCATGCATGGGGCAACCTGGGATACTACAATTTCACCGTAAGGGTTTCCTTCTTCCCTTTTTCTATCTTTCTTGTGTTCGTGAGTAGTGTCACCTTTCTCTCTTTCCCCTATACATTTTTTCCTTATAGATTAAGGAGTTAGTTTTTTTTGAAGTGTCGGAAAGTGGTGTTAAAATTGAAAACTATAACTAGGGTAACTAAGGTATGGGCGTGCTACCACCACCACCCAACCTTTTTTGTAATGGCACCCTTCCTTACCCCTTAATGCCGATTGTTTCATGGTTTTTGATTGCAGGTGGAGTCAAGCCCTTACACGAGGCTGTGCAGGACAAAGGTCATACTCACTGTTAATGGGCAGTACCCGGGGCCAACACTTTATGTTCGTAAAGGAGGAACCCTCATAGTAAAAGTTCTCAATAAATCTAGCTACAATATCACTCTTCACTGGTATCTCTCTCTCTCCTTTTCGTTTTTAGTCGCTTCGAGAATTAGTAGGGTTTAAAGTTGAAGCACCCTGTTACCCCGACCACGTATGCTTGGTGCCCATCTTTCTCTGTGTCTCTCTTTTGGTTTTTTTATTTTAAAAAAAACTGAGGGTCTGTGTTTTCTCTCCCTCTCTCACTACAAGTAGATCTTTCTACAAAATTCAATCGTATAAATTATTTTAGAATAAATTGGTTATATTGGGCATAATAAAGTATTGGGCTTAGGTTTGCTAACACTAATAATTGCAATGCCATATCTCAAGTTCGATTCCTATTGCTGAACTACAGGAAAAGCTTATTTTTGTCCCCACATGACATTTGTTCATCAATCAATCTTGCAGGCACGGGGTTAAGCAGCCAAGGAATCCATGGTACGATGGTCCTGCGTATATAACACAATGCCCAATTAAACCAGGAGGGAGGTTCACATACAAAGTCTTCTTCTCCGCAGAGGAGGGGACTGTGTGGTGGCATGCTCATAGTGACTGGAGTCGGGCCACGGTGCATGGTGCCATCGTCGTATACCCTCGAATTGGAGCGAGCTACCCCTTTCCAAAGCCTGATGGAGAGATGCCCATTATATTTGGTACAGGGAAATTCGATTGCGATGATGGGAGTATTTTGTTTATTTTGTGAGAAATTTGGGCGGTTTAGTGCGGTTGGATTATGGGTATGGGTGGCAATAGGCCGGGTGCCCGACCCTAAAAACCAAGGGCCTAGGCCACAAAATATGGCTTGAGGACCAGACCACTATGGCCTGAGTACTGGGCCAGCTTGGGTCAAGACAGGATTGCACTTGCCCTTATTTCTTTATCTTTTTGTTGTATTTTTTGAATTATATTTAGACCGGCCCACCATGATAGGGCTGGGGCTGGGCAGCGAGGACCTCTTTGGCCTGGTTGGGGCTGAGCTGGGCGCAACACTCAAGGAAACATGCTGGGTTAGGGCCAGGGATGGTCCAGCCCCTTGTCAGGATTTAGGGTATTTTTGGTCTAGAGAGATGTTGATAAGGATTCTTTGGTCATTCTAGTAAAGGTGCACTCGATACGCTAAATTGCTTAAGAGATAAAAGGTCATTTTGGATTCAAAAAAAATTTTGACAAAATTTTATATTGACGACTTACCTAATACAACTTATCTCCTTTATCTGGATGAGTTAGGAAAAGTTTAAAACCTTCATCCTTCCTAGACCAATTAGGTGAAAATAGCCATGATGATGATGATGAAAGGCCACTTTGGTAATTTCAAAGGTGGAGGGTATGATTGTCATTCCAAAAAATCCAATGCAAGAAACATTTTTTGAATATAGAAGTGTGTTTGGACTGCGTTTCAAAATCGGGATTGGGCTACAACTATGCAGGGTTCAAATCCAATTCCCTTCCGACTATGGGTAATTTTCAAGCGGGATCATTCAACAAAGAAAAAAAAGAAGATAAAAACCAAAGAATCGGAAACATTCCACGATTTTTGGAAAATGATCGCCCAGCCAACGATCCCCATCTCAAGTGATTCCGAGTCGGATTCGTAAATTTTCCTCAAGAGAATTTGGCTTGTTTCCTTAAAAATTATGGATGCTTCCCTTTTAAACCCTAAGTGGGTTATGTGGTCATTTTAGAAATGAGGCATCTAAATCATTATCGCTCCTTGTGTAGCTCAACTCCATTCTATATCATTTCTCATTAGGATCAATGCCCAATCGTCTGATGTATTTCTTTTGAATTCTGAACTTAGAAATCATGCAAAAGTCCTCATATTCTTTTCTTCTCACCTCATAGTTATAAAGACTGTATTATATCAATGATTATGGAAAGTGTGAACAATTAATATGATCTATATGGTCTTAGTAACAAGAACATCATGTTATTACGCCCAAAAGTTGAACTATTTAACATTTTACAAAATGTGTAATTTGACAAATTTTAAAAAGCCGTAATGAATAATGATGTATCTTTTGATTGATAGGTTATTTGAAATTTGATTAAATAAACGATAGGCTATTTGAAATTAGATTAAAAGATACAGATGAGATATTAAATTATTTAATTCTTAAATGCGATTCTATAAATTTCTCAAAATAAATCACATGGATAAAGAATCCCAATTAGAAAAGGACACGGTTTCTATGAGTCCATATAAAAATAATTCACCTTTTAAAAATCTAGTTTTGAGATGGAGTTTTGGACTTAATTTTTTAAGGACATGTAATTTCAAACATGGAGATTAGGAATATGAATATAT